CCACCACACTCAGACCCTATGTGTTGTTTTAAATGCCTTTCCTCTTTACCTTTGTCATGCTTTACACATCGGGGTCATCTGAAAGAGGAAAAGAGAAAAATAGATGGATATTTTATAGATTTTTTTTTTTTTTTTGGTACTAGGGATTGAACTCAGGGGCACCCAGCCACTGAGTCACATCCCCAGCCCTCTTTTGTATTTTATTCAGAGACAGGGTCTCACTGGGTTGCTTAGCGCCTTGCCATTCCTGAGGCTGGCTTTGAATTTGGTATCCTCCTGCCTTAGCCTCCCTAGCAGCTGGGATTACAGGCATATGCCACTGTGCCTGGCTATTTCATAGAATTTATTATAACTTTTGATGAATGTTTTTATACAGTTTTAGTTGTTTCCAAAGAAGTAGTTCATAAATAATCAACTAATACAATGGCCTACCTAAACACATCTGATATAGCAAACAAACAGGAGTTGGAGCCGTGGTGCAGCATGTAATACCTAGCTACTTGGAAGGTTAAGGCAGGAGGATTGCAAGTTTGAGACCAGCCTGGGAAACTTAGTGAGACCCTGTCTCAAAAAAAAAAAAAAAAAGAGTGGCGATGTCACAGAAGAACAGATGTCTCCGGAGAAGGGTCCGAGGAGTTCCCAGTAAAGAGGGGGATCTCAACTCAGGAACAGTGGGGTTCTTGGCATATATAACAGAAAAAAAATTCAGCACAAGCCAGACAAAGGCATAGACAAGGTTTATTTAGCAAGGTAGATACACATTCAAGGGAGAATGTAGGCTGCCTTGAGAGTGAGAAGCAGCCCTCCCTTGGGCTGGGGTCCAACATTTATAGAAGGGCTGTATCCCAGGGCCCCTGCTGGAGTGGACCCAGGGTGGAGATGCACAATTTCCCCGCCAGTTTCCCCTGCCCTTGCATATTTCTCTCATTTTTTACAAGGGCATGGGCCAAGGGTGTGTTGCTCAAGATTTACTGCTATGCTTTCTACATCTCAATGGCTTGTGAGTGTTGCCTTTAAGATTCAGTGTTCCTCTCATTTTCCAAAATCCCTATCTCAGCGTGATGGAAGAACCACAGGGACCAGTAGTTTCTCCTCTCTGCTGTTGCCCAGGGAGGGCTGTGAGGAAAAGGCTGATGCAGGACAGGTTAAATCTGTGGTCTAGACTTGAGTTTGGTGCCAATGAGATCAAAGGATACAGAATTCACTGTGTTAAACTATGAGTGTTCCTAGAAGATTCTGATTTTAGGGCAGGGACAGCAATTTTATAAAATGGGAAAAATTTCTTGCTTTACTCCTTTTATTTGTGCTTTGAGGTTCCTTTTCCAATAGTAGAAGGTTGTAACTCACAGTTAGCAGTGTAGACACGAGGCTCTACATGGGTCTTGCTTTTGCAGTGCCACATCTTGTCTTGGGCACATAAATGGCACATAAATAAATTACCTATTACTGTGGTGATAAGATGTGAACTAACCCTCCTTAAGTGGTAGGAATTCCAAGAATTCTGCTAAGTGAGCCATAGCACTCAGCCCCTCTACTTTCTTGACCAAGAGTCAATGGCAGTCGAGTGCTAGTAACTAAATTTGGGTCCTGGTCACAACCTGGCTGCAGCACATGGCCATCTGGACTCACAAAAACCAATCAGATTCCCTGCAACTGCTGGGACACCTTCTTGGTCCTGGGGTTCCCTTCCTCTTTCCAGCTGTGGCAGAGGCACCCTGAATCTGTGTCTGGGAGAACAGAGGGTCCCCACTGGGTGAGTCACTCCGACCTACACTGCAGGAGGAACTTCCTTGTCCTTCCAATTTGAGCTTTTTCAATCCAGTTCCATTCGGTGAAACCCAATGGACAGCCTCCTGACAGAGAGGTCTACAGGCAGCTCATGGAATTTTCTGCCTTTTGGAGGGGGAGGTACTGGGGAATGAACCCAGAGGGGCTTTACCACTGAGTCACACTCCCAGTTCTTCTTATTTTTTTATTTTGAGACAGAGTCTCACTAAGTTGCTGAGGCTGTCCTCCAACTTGCTATCCTCCTTGCTGGCATTACAGGCCTGTGCCATGGCTCCGACTACTTTTCTGCCTATTAGGTCCCCTGGGCTTCTGAAACCTCACTGATCTGGGATTTGCAGCATTTTGCTTCTGGCACTGCCGCAGGGCAAGACGGTGTTGGACTTCGTGTCTGGGTTTGGTGTGGGAAGACGCATGTTTGTTGCCTAGTACTGGTGTAAGTCAGTTCTCCTCTTTTTCTTGCTGGGATCTTTTTGTTCTCCCTTCCCTCTCGTACTCCTGAAGAAGACATGGGTAATACCAGCATAATTTCTGCTGACAGCTCCTTAGGAAAAAAAATTAGAAAAATGGTCTGATTCCTGTTTTGCCCCCATGGTTAGAAAGATAATGCGTTATTGCTGCAATGCTGCTTGACCACTGTGTGTACTGGGGTCTGAGGGAAGGTGGCCAACAAATGGCTCTTTAAATGATTCTGTTGTTACAGAGCGTGGGTCTGCCCAGAGCTGCGGCGCCATGGCTGTCCTTGCCCACCTCGGTTCTTGCAATCATCCCAGAAAGATTTCGTGTTGCTCAGATTTGGAGTAAGCAGGCTTGAGTTTATATTAGAGGGGATGGAGAAAGGGAAAAGGGGACACTCTCAAGGGAGAGTGGTGGGTCTTCTTAGAAGGAAGGAAGGCATGCCTCCCCTTCTTTCCAGTGTTTGGGGAGTCCCAGGGAAGCTTCCACAGACCCCTGCGCACCTCCTACAGGTCCACCTCTTGACTTTTGACTGACAGCAGGATGACATTAGACTTTGAAGTTTCCACTGCCATGACAACTCTAGGTCACTTTGGCCCATGCTGACTGGTTCTAATTGTTCTTATAGATTTTATGGTTAGGGGCAATTATCTGGTCTGTGTAAGGGTCACAGAAGTCTACCTGCTTCAGGGTATTTGGGGCCTGCATTTCTCCTGCAGATAACAGGTTGTTTCCTGAGGAATGGAACATGTCCTATCAACTTAATCCAAGCAAGGCTTCAGGTAAATTGCTTTTTTGAAAAAAGAAAAAGACGAAACATGTGAGGGTTGGCACAGGGAGCTCAGTTTATAGAATTATCCCCTTAACCTTGTATTCTCATTGCTCCTATGTGTCTGCTCCCCCACAATGCCATCATCCAGAAGGCTGGCGGCCAGGCAGATGAATTCCCTGTATCTGAGCGTTTCTAAACCTTCATGAGGAAGAGAAAAGGGGAACTCAGTGCTCATGGTAGGAAGGAAGGACAGGAAGCAGAATGAACCCCCAAGTTGGGATCTGAATATAATGAGGCGATGCCATCTTTGCCATTACCACTACCACCCCCCTCTTCAAAAAAAATTATACTTCGACTTCCTAATAAGCTCAGTTCCACCTCAGTCTGAACCTGGGCCAGAGCCAGGAATGATCTCTTGCAAGACCCAACAGGGAACCCAATTTGGCTAGTTCCTGTAAGGGGAGCAGGGCAATTCCTCTGATGCAATGCCTGATAACCAGTTGCATCCTTAGGAGTTCATGGGCCATTTTCCATCTCAGACTTAATGATTTTGAAAAATAACTTCCCTTCTTTCAAGGGCCACCCACAGAGGATGACGGGCTGTTTGTTGCCCACTTGCTTCACAGCACCCAACCTGGGCAGGTGTGCAGGCTGTAATGAGTAGTCTCCTAACCACGGGGGAAAGGCCACTGGTGACTTACAAGGCTCAGGAGGAAGTGGGTCGTCTCCATCAGGAAAATCTGGCAGAGATGCAGGAACCAAATGCGGCCATCCCTCGTGTAGACCCTGGCTGGAACCCAAATCACGGGCACTTTCCTGGGCTGGGGCATTATTGCAGATGCAGACTGGCAAGTTCCAAGGAGGCAGATCATTATTAAGACAGGGGGATTTCAGGACAAAATTATGGAGAATACCATACCTAAATGTTATGATATCAGGTAACACGGAAGGGAATATGGAACAAGAAAGTAAAGCTTGCCTCCTGACCAAAGAGAACTAGAGAAGTTTTTGACCAAGTTCATTTGTTCCATACCTTATCGCCCCCATCATGCTCCCATCCAGCAGAAAGTAGCTGAACAATTCAAAGTCCCTATTCACTCTCATCACAAGATTATGCAATGAAATAAATTGACAATGGAGATCTGTAACAGAGGAAAAAAGCGTTTTTTGTTCTGTTTTTTAACTTCTTTTATTGGTGCTTTAACGTTCCATTTTCTATTAGCGCGCAGGTTGTACCTCACAGCTTGCTGTGTAGTGTCATATCTTGTCTTTGAGTTTGCTTGCACATAACAAGGTGCCGATTAAAGTAGTGATAAGATTTAAACTAACCCTTGTTGATTAAGTTGTAGGAATTTAAGAACACCCAAGGGGCGCCCTCTGTTTTTTTGACCAGGAGTAACCCTTTGCTAATTTTAGTCCCAAGTTCTCCATCCAGAGGATGTTTGCGCCTGCATAAGACAGGCCCACCTCTCCATGTGATGACATGCAGGAAGAACGGTGCTTTTAAGTATCTGCAGGGGGGAGGCAGATGGGCTCTGTGCCAACGGCCTCTGGCTCTTGGTCTTCTAGTTTCCACTAAAGACTGTTCCCCACCCTGCACCTTGTCTGTCAAGTCTTTGGCAATCCAGCCCAAGTAGCCACATCTGGGTCCAGCAACAATTAGGAAGAATTGCCTCAAGAAATTTAAGCCATGCGCCTGGGGTTGTAGCTCAGTGGGAAAGCGCTTGCCTAGCTCGCTTAAGATCTTGGGATCCATCCCCAGCTTTGCAAAAAACAACAAAAACAAACAAACAAACAAAAAAACAAACAAAACCCCCCTTAAGTCATTAGTCCCAAAGGCTGCTTGGGGAAAGTAGGAATGACAGCAGTCTAGCAACCCACTCCCAAGGGAAGAAATGCCCCAAAGCTAGTGTCTTACTGATTATTATAGTTTTAAGGTGATTGCACATAATAACCATGTTGGTTTATTGGTTTCTTTGACTTACAGTTCAAATTGCCTTAATATTTGGTGCAAGGATATTAGACTATGTCTTCAATATGTGTGAAGGTAAATTTGATTTCCTCGAACGGCTCTCAGATGATTTGCTCCTGTATATCATTTCTTATCTGGATCTTGAAGACATTGCCAGGCTTTCTCAAACATCACACAGATTTGCAAAGGTAACATTATTTTGTATTTACGTAGAATTTTCCCTGCATTCTCCTGATACTTTTTTCTTTGATAGAGCTTCGGATTCAACACCAGGGACTCACACCTGTAGGAAAGTGCACTTCCACTGAGCTCAGCCCCAGCCCTTCTATTTGCATTTATTTCAACAATGATTTGTTGAGTGCTGACTCTGTGATGGAACTTGTCCCAGGCACACAAGCAGCAGATGATGAAGCAGTATTTCTGCTCTTGAGGGAACTTAAAGTCTAATAGGAGATGTTCATGCAGATACAGGCCATTACAACATAGGGTGACAGAATACAAAGTGATGTCCTCTTCTGGCTTCATCGAAGTGGGTTACTTTATCTGGATTTTGATTGGACATAGGAGTTTGACAGATGGTCAGGTTGACTGGGGACATTCCAAGGCAAGGAAGAGCTCAGGCAGAGATGTGGTGGCTTAGCAGAAAAATGCGAGGCGTGACAGCCCCACATCCGCTCCTGTTCCCTGAGTCACAGCCTTTGCTGATTTACCTGTCTCCCAGTAGGTGTGTTCTGCATGGCCACTGAGTGCCCCTTGTGCCCTTCCCCCAGGCTGCCCAGAGGGACCCCTGCTACTTTGAAACCTTACACAGAGTGTACTCACACTAGAACAGAACACAGTTGGTGCCACTTTCAGCCAGAGTCAGGACAAGATCTTTGGTTCTGTGGCTTCATCTGTTCCTTCAGTTCTAGACCCTCTCCCCACAGCCACACTCACTTTTCATTAAACCCCTTCTTGGCCTAAGTTAATCAGAATCGGAGACTGTTGCTTGTATTGGAAGAAACTTAATGAGCTGGGTGTTTAGCTGTGAAGCATGAGGGTAGTGTCCGTTTTCAAAAGAACATACAACGTTTTCCAAGATGATTCAGACCATAATCTTGCCTAAAATTCAACATTTTTTCACAGTTCAATTTCTTGATTATTAAAATTCTTTTAAAATTATATAATCTGTATTAGTTACAATACATAATTTCTTTGTTTGTTTGTTTGTTTGTTTGTGGGGCTGGGATTGAACCCAGAGCCTTGTCATTGGAGGCAAGCAGTCTACCAACTGAGCTATATCCCCAGCCCCTTACATAATTTCTTTAGAAATACATATATATACATGTATATATATTTTAACTTGATCTACCCCCTAAAAATAGAGGGCCAGAAACAAGTATTAAGAGTAATCATTGGGCTGGGGTTGTGGCTTAGTGATAGAGCACTGGCCTAGCACGTGCGAGGCCCTGGGTCAATCCTCAGCACCACATAAAAATAAATAAAATATTGTATCCAACTACAACTAAAAAATAAATATTAAAAAAAGATTCTTTAAAAAAAAGAGTAAAAAAAAAAAAAGAGCAATCATAATTGTGTGTGTGTGTGTGTGTGTATGTGTGTGATACTGGGGGTTGAACCAAGGGGCACTCTACCACTGAGCTGTGTCCCCATCCCTTTTTATATTTTTATTTTGAGACAGTTTCTCACTAAGTTGCCCAGGCTGGCTTGAATTTGCCAACTCCCTGCCTTAGCCTCTCAAGTTGCTAGGATTACAGGTGTGCATAGTGCCCACCTTTTCTTCTTCCCATTAAGAAAAAGTTCATTAAAGTTGAGACGTTACACTTGCTGCTGGTAAGAAGCTGCTTAAAATTAGAGACTCTTAAGTAATAATAAAATACGCTGGTGGGGGTCTGCTAAAAGATTCTGCCAGGCCTGGGTTTGCTCCTGGAAGTGGAGGGAGTGGGGGAAAGAGCCAGCCCCTGCAGGTCTACTGTCATTTATCCCTCACTGGAGCTGCCGGCTCCCCTCCAAGTTCAACTCACTTCCCCTCTCACTCTCTCCTTCACGCTCTGCCATTATTCTAGCCTCGTCTTGGAAACATCCTCCGTAATTCTACTTTACAGTCAGGCTTCGGGTGTCCTTGCAGAGCAGAATTATCAGGAGACAGCCCGGGCTCAGGGCTGTGGCATTTTTCTTTCTGTGTGATATGAACCCTGTGTTTCTGTTGTCAAGCTGAGTTTTATCTGGGTTCCATTTTCCTGCTGTGTCCCTTCATTTATCAATTATTTTCACTTAGCTACTTATATTAATGAAAAAAAATTTATTACCAAATTGTGTAAGACGTTTCCTCTGCGCTCAGGGAGCGGGGGCTCTTGTATTCAAGGTCAGCCCTCCGGCCTAGCTCCAGGGCCCAACCCGGACTTCACTTATCTCCTGTCTCTTCTGTTTGTTGTTCAGCTCCTTCAGGGGCTTCTCCAGTGTCACATCTTACACAACCATTTGTTGCAAGTAAGCAACAGTACCATTAGTTAAAGTACACATTATTTGGATTTCATCAGTTTTTCTCCTAATGTGTTTTCACTGTTTCAGAATCCAACCTTGCATTTAAACTCACATTATTTATTTATGTTTTTTAAAAATATTTTTTTAGTTATCCATGGGCACAATATCTTTATTTTGTTTATTTATTTTTATTTGGTGCTGAGGATCAAACCCAGGGTCTCACACATTCGAGGCGAGTGCTCTACCCCTGAGCCACAACCCCAGCCCCATTTATTTATTTATGTTTTTGAGACAGGGTCTTGCTAAGTTGCTTACAGCCTCACTAAGTTGTTGAGGCTGGTTTTGAACTCGTGATTCTCCTGCCTCAGCCTCCCAAGTAGTGGGATACAGTCATTTATCACCACATCCAGCTTTTTAGTTTGAATTTTTAACTCTTTTTTGTGTGTGTGTGTGTTGGGGGGGGCGGGTACTAGGGATTGAACTCAGGGACACTCAACCACTGGACTACCTCTGAAGCCCTATTTTATTTTTTTAATTTTTTAATATTTATTTTTTAGTTTTTGGCAGACACAACATATTTGTTTGTATGTGGTGCTAAGGATTGAACCTGGGCCGCACGCATGCCAGGCGAGGGCGCTACCGCTTGAGCCACATCCCCAGCCCCTGAAGCCCTATTTAGAGACAGGGTCTCAATGAGTGCCTAGTGCCTCCTTTTTGCTGAGGCTGGCTTTGAACTCCTGACCCTCCTGCCTCAGCCTCCTGAGCTGCTGGGATTAAAGGAGTAGGTTACCCCATGGGTTTTTAACTCTTACTTTATTTTTTTTCCCTCTCTGTACATTAATTTTCTCAAATCAGCCTCATCCTTCAGAAGACTATAGTAGGACTAAGTTTCCACCCTCTTAGTACCTCACATTTCCACAAGCCATATCCAGACATTTCTATCATGTAGTGTTGCTCCCTTCTCTAGGAATGTCCTCCTGGAAAATCCACTCTGACCTCCCAAATGGCCCTCAAGTGATATTTGTACTAACATGCCCCAGCTCAAGGGTGAGATGGTATCACTGAAATCTGTACATTCCTCTAGCAGAGTGCCTAGCCCAGAGTTAGCTCCCAGGATGTGGTCCCGAATGCTTCCAGAGAGGGGCAGCTGTATCCATTCTGTTTATATTTTGAAAAAGAAAATTGATTTGCACTACAGTGGTCAGATCAGAAATGTTTGAAAATTATACATCCTTGTATGTAGAACAAACGGTCATTCTTTCCATTTCTAACTCTCATTCCTTATTCTCTACCATATGACCAATGGTCTGTATGTCCTTCTGTATATACATAAGCATGTGTGTGAGATATTTGAATATAGAAAGTTTCCAAGACCAAACCCGACTCTATAGTGAAGAATTACCTGGGAAGTGTAAAGTCACGCTCAAGACCTGAATTGTGTGGGGTCCTTGGGGTGTAACCAGGGTGTAACCCCTGGTTCTTGAGAGTCATGGTGCCAGCCCACAGGGGAGGAGGGAAGTATCCACTTGTCATACTCACTGCCACAGCAATCAGAATCATCAACTGCCTGCCCTTTCTCTGATTCCATATTAATTAAGCCCCATGGGTGCGTCCATGGATGAGCGCCTGAAGACCTAGTAGGTCTGATGGCTATACTTTTCAGTGAAAAATTCTCTGAGAGCTTGGCTAACACCAGTTTGCCCTGAAAGGGGAGTCCAGTGTCTTGGTACATTGGAAAGGCAGAGTTCCATGCCTGTCTGACTGAGACCCAGCAAGTTGGACAAGATATGTGGGCACACGCCTGGTAGCCTGGTGTCTGGCGGGGGGGCGGGGGAGGCGGGGGGGGGCAGCAGGCCTTTTTCTGCAATCTCTAACAGAGCTGACCTGCAGAAAGCTCTGGTGTAGCTCACAGGGAAAGAACAGTCATAGTGGAGGTATAATTATAACCATCTTGCTTGTGGCTCAGGAATCACTGTGACACTCAGGGAGGAAGAAATGTCTCCCTGATACTTTTTGGCTGTGAAAAGACAGATTTTTCCTTGTGTCCAGCAACTCCCTGTGAACATGATTCCCAAGTCTGGCCCAGCAGGGGCAGCACCTAGGAAATAGGTGTAAATATCGGTGCTATGTCTAAACCTAATCTGGGAGGTTTGTGCAATCCCATTCTAAGGGCTCAGCCCAAGAATTTGACTGGAATTCTTTAAGATAAGATTTGATTTTTGTTTGTTTTTGTAATGGAGGGATATGCTACCACTGAGCTACATCCTCAGTCCTTTTTGTTTATTTTTTGAGACAAGGTTTCACTAAGTTGCTGAGGCTGACCTTGAACTTGCCTCAGGCTCTTGAGTTGCTGGGAGTACTGGCATGCATGCACCAAAGTGCCCAGTTTACCAATTGATTTTTGAATTGTATAGATAAAATATCTCTGCTGGGGATGTGACCCAGTGCTAGCTGGGTTCAGTTCCCTGCATTCCCATCCCCAAAGAAAATGTCTCAAGACTAAATAAAAGGCTAGAATCTCATGGGCTGTTGTTCTTGTCTTCACCGAGCACAGCACTGTGGTGTATTTAAATCAGCCTTAGAAGCCACGTCCTATGATGCACGCTGGTAATCCCAGCTCCTCGGGGAGGCTGTAGCAAGAGGGACAAAAGTTCAAGGCCAGCCTGGGCGACTTAGTGAGACCCTGTCTCAAAATAAGAAATAAAAAGAGCTGGGGGAAAAATTCAATGGTAGAACACCCCTGGGATCAATTCTCAGTACCGCCCCCACCCCCAAAAAAAGAAAGAAAGAAAGAAAAATCATTCATTTATTCAATCAATCAATTAATCAGCTCTAGGTCAGAGAGCTAAGTTGTTTTCTTAGCTCCTCCCCACCATAAGCTTTGGATAGCACTCTTTGCTCTCTCAACCGGTTTCCCCATTTGAAGGAGAGTTTGAACAAGAGGTTTTTTATAAACCCTAGGATTCCTTTCAATAGTTCATGGATGTCAACTTCATGCACCACCACCAGGGGGCAGTAGGCCCACGATTGTGTGTTTAGGTGCAAAGGGACCAGAGCCACAGGCTGGGTACCTGCTTTTTAAGCCCTGCAAACTGCCAGATAAGAGATCTCCAGAGTTTGGGAGTCTTTGTTGAAGGCATTTTACAGACATATTTATAAAACCAAATATATTTCAGTCTTAAATCTGATGAGCCATAAATGAAGTTACTCTAGTGGCAAATTTAACTGTTTTGAAATTCTTTCCTTTGACCCCAGACCTTGTTGTTTTCTCCCGTAATCTCTATTATGCAAGACACACTGATTCCTGAAATGTATTGTGCTAGTAATGGCTAGATCATCTATATTTGTGGTGGAGTTGGAGTTTAGATCTTTGAAAGGCAGTGTAGGCCATCCGTTTTGTGGTTTTTGTTTTGTTTTGTTTTGTTTTTGATATTGAGACATTTCCTAAGAGTTTTCACCTATTTATGTTTAGATTACGTAATCTGAGTGGAGAAATTCAACCTTGAAGGACTGTTGAAGGTGAGATAAGATAATGAATGGCCCGCCTGACCTAAAAATGTTATGGGGACTGTAAATATATGATTTGATGTCACTGTTTAACGATAACCTTCATCATGTGGATGTACTAGCTCTTGCAGAAAGTATCTGAAGCAATTATGCTCTACGACACTCTTCACTCTGACTGTAATTCATTCTTTCCCCTTATCTGAGTACTTTTAGAGTGCATGGAGTATAAAAGGATGCTGGCTGCTCTCTGTTGAAAGTGGGAGTAATGGTGTAGGAAGTGGAGATAACACTTGTAGGTTCTTCCTCTTCAGGAAGAAGCCGAGATGAGTGGGCACACAGCATGGCCAGGTGCTGGTTGGTGTGGGTGAGACGCAGGCAGTTTTGGGGTTGGGGGTTGCATAGAGAGGTGGGAGGGGCCGGCTAGGCCCCCTTATAGAAGATAATCTCTAGGATTCACGTGGCGTTGCAGTTTGGAAGGACAGGCAGAGATGGCAACAGGCAGAGCAGGGAAGAAGCAGGCACGGAGTTCAGCTCCCATGAATAGGTGGTATGTAGTGTGTGTGTGTGTGTGGGGGGGGCAATTGCAGGCTTCCATCCCAGAGTCTAGGACAGTTTGGCTTACCATAGGGGCATTGAGGCCTCCCACCCAGCATGGCCTTTGCAGTGTTTGGGGCCTGTGCCTGAGCTGCAGTGCTGCTCCTTCGACATGCACGCCTGTAGGTGAGACGGGAGGCCCTCGCTCTCTTCCCCTCCACGGGCTTGGGCTAGTAGCTCAGTGGAACATCTGGGATGGGCTGTGCCTTATGACAGTATGGGTGAGTCCAGTTCTCTTCAGTCTGGTCTCTATGAGCTACAGGGATAGGACATTCTAGAACTCTCTGAAACAAGGGTCAAAATTGTAATTGATACAAGACTTTGAATTTACCTTACTTTTTTTTTTTTTTTTTTTTAGGATTTGGGCTCTTTAGTTCTATTCTATCTTTAGATCTATTCCATCATCAGCACATTGCATTGTAATTCTTTCACTGTGAATCTATTTTCTTCAGTATTCTCTTGGCATCCCACATGGCTAACAAATACAGGTTCTAAAGGATTGTCTTTGATGGAAGGAGGACAGACAGATGATTTGGTACTTCACACTTTCAAATTCATCTACATGATGAATTGGACAAAAGAAGGTATATTTCCTGGTCTTAAATTCTGCGAACATAAGTGAATCAGTCACATTAGTCATTGTCCACCAATATGTGGCTCACTGACATACCTGTATTTGTATTTGACTTCTAATTTTCCATCCTGTGAATTGCTGGCTGTTCCTGACCTCCCAGACTCCAAGTCATAGCAACTGAAGGCTGAATTTCCACCTGGATGCCAATGGCCTTCGGGGCCTTTCTTTCTAGTGTCTTCTGAGAAATGGGTCTGGTAGCATGCTGTTCTCTCTCCCCTTCCTGCTCATTGATGGTATATATTCCAGGGGCTTTACATATGTTATCAATAATCCCCTCAGCAGTAAAAGTTTATTATCGTTTCTGTGCAATCACAGTAACTCCTGTTTATTGAATGGCTACTGTGTACTAGGCTCTGAAAGTACATAAGCTGATGTAATTCTCATAGCAGCTCTGTGGGATGTGTAGGGGTTCTCTTGTCCTGATTTTTAGAGGAGGAAATAGGAGCTTAGTTGAAGTTCACAGGTATGAAGCCTGGGCAGTCTCACTCCAAGGCTGATTGGTTGTTTTGTTTTATTTTGTTTTTTCCCAGTACTGGAAAGTGAACCCAGGACCTTACACATGTGGGACAGGTGCTGCATCACTAAGCTACATCCTCAGCCCTGCTGATGTTCTTAAATCACTAGATTCTGCTATTTAGATGGCCGAATGGAGGATCAGTATGGAGCCAGACGCAGAGAAATTTAATACATTCAGGATTACTTTATTAAGTGGCAGGGCCGGAATTCAAATATGTTTGCTAGTTAACTTGTCTGTGTTGGTACCTTGAGAATATAGGGGAAAGTTCAGTCTTCTAAGAGGGAGTTAAACCCGGGAAGGTAGCCAGGCATGGTGGTGCACAGCTGTAATCGCTACTACTTGGAATGCTGAGGCAGGAGAATCACAAGTTCAAGACCAGTATCAGCAATTTAATAAGACCCTGTCTCAAAATAAATAAATAAATAGATAGATAGAAAGGGCTGGGGATGTAGCTCAGTGGTAAATCACCCCTGCATTCTATCCTCAGTTCAACGGAAACAAAAAAGCATGGGGATATATTCGTTGCCTCGTAGACAAGGACTGCACCTTTGATAACTGCGCAAGTGTTATCTTCCTTGGGCCCGTGGAAGGTTCCATGAACAGGGGCGTGGAAATGCAGTCCTCACCCCTCCTTCTGCTCTTCCAGCAAGGTTCCTCTAAGGAGTTCTCTGTCCTTGCTCTTCTGCTGTTCTTTCTACCTTGAACTCTGTAGCTAGATGTTCGTCCCCACTGTGCCAATGAACTTACGCCTGTCAGAGTTGCTGTGGTACATCATCTTGCAAAGCACACAGTCAGGTCTTCAGTGTTTGTTTGTTCCCAGTGCTGGGAGTCAGACTCAGGGCCTGAGAGTGCTGGGGTGCTCAATGCCGAGCCATCCCAGCTCCCAGCAGTCAGTTCTCAGTTCCCCTCTTGATTGACTTTTCAGTAGCATTTGACATTTTGATTACTTTCCAGATCTTCTTTTTTTCTCAGTTTTCCTTGTTGAGGACTTTGCCACTTCCTGGGTGCTTCACGTGGAATGTCGTGGAAAGCTTCCTTAGACCACCTTCTCTATCTTCAGGCACACAGAGAGGATGGCACCTGATCCAGGGCTTTAAATACCATTGCCACTGAGCACCCTCAGCCATGTCCAGTCCACCTGGACTCCTTCCTTACTGTGAATCTAACTGCATGCTCAGTAACCCCACTAAGATACATTACAGACATTTTGAATTTAACAGGTCAAAACCAGACCAGATGTCTTGATTTCCCTACACACTTACCTATTTACACCACGTCAACCTCTCTCACAGCCCTATTTTTCCCAGTCATTGACGTCACTAATTTTGCTCAAGCCAAAAAACTCATCCTGAATTCTCTATCCTGGTACAAACGATTTAATTCATTAGCAAATCTGTGTGTGTGTGTGTGTGTGTGTGTGTGTGTGTGTTGGGTGGTACGGGGGATTGAATGCAGAGGCACTTAAGCAGTGAGCCACATCGCCAGCCCCCCCCCCCTTTTTTTTGAGACAGTCTCACTAAGTTACTTAGGGCCTCACTAAGTTGCTGAGGCTGGTCTTGAACTTGGCCATCCTCCTGCCTCAGCTTCCCAAGTTGCTGGGAACACTGCACCTAGCAAGAGGCGGTCTCTTGAGGTGGAACTTGTGCCTGACACACCTTCCTGCACATGAAGCCTTTGGTGGTGTTTCCCAGGCAGCAGGGGTTTGATGATGACCATGTGGGTGAGTGAATGACTTTCCTTAGCTGGTGTGTGCTGTGACCCACCTCTGGCTCTTTCCACCCGCAGCTGTGCACATCTGATATTCTGTGGGAGCAGATAGTGCAATCCTCCTGTGACACCATCACTTCTGACATGAGGGCCCTGGCAGAGGACATAGGCTGGAGACACATGTTCTTCACCAACAAGCTCCAGCTGCAGCGGCAGCTCCGCAAGAGGAAACAAATGCACGAGAGCCTCGGAGAGAATCAGCTATTTTAGAGACACCTTTGGCTGCCGGCAGGAAGCTCTGAGGCACCTCTGTGCTTCTCTTCAGGGTCCAAATCTTAAGAACAATGTTCCACTGATCCCAGAGTCTTTCGAAAAGAATAGAGGATTTGTACACAAATGCAGAACTTGGCCACCCAGTGCCCTGCTGGAACCACCATCCCTGTTACACTGAGGGCCAAGCTGTGGCCCTAGAACAAGGAGGTCAAGATAAGGAGCTTCGCAGGTCACTGTCTTCCCAACCCTGACGGTGCTCAGAACAGACACTTGTGCTGTACATCAACAAACAATAAACGATCATCAGCCAGTTTTATTATATCTATTGTATGTAGAATTTGAATGGGTGACTGGACTCTTGAATTTTTTCCTGGTGTTGTGTCATCTGAGTTGTCACTGGGTCAGAGATCCTAGAGAGGTCCTGAAAAGGAAGTGGTTGTCACTGGGACAGGGGTCTTACAGAGGTCCTGAAAGGGAAGTGGACCTCAACTCAGCCTGTGAGGGTCCCCTATGTCAAATCAGAAAGGAACTTAAGGGATGGGTCACAGTGAGGGGCAAACTGGTTTTATTAAGAGAATGCAAGGTGTGCACGTTCTAGGGGTTGGTAGGGCGCGGGCACTGGCGAGGAAGTGCTAGTCCCCCGAGCAACAGGTGTGTACGTGTAAGATCTATGGTACACAGACGTCATCGGAGAGGCCTCCCTTGTGTGCGTCCCTTGACATGCTAAATCAAAATCTCTGGGTTGTTTTTTTCTGTTTTTGATGAAAAATCTCTATTCATTTCCTCACCTGGGGGTTTCATTGTTGTGCTTTGCGAATTTTAACAGGATGACATTTGTGTGGCATTGAAGGTTCTATGGAGAGTGTGACATGGGGATGAAGTCATCAGATCTTAAAAATAGAAACCACAGGAAAGCCTATTTGTTGAGCAAAGCCCTCTCAGTCCTGTTTTTTGTTTTGTTTTGGTTTGTATGTTTTTTTAGGTCTAAGTCAGGAGAGAAGTTATTTATGAACACAGATAAGGTCTGATAATTGATTTATGAACCAAGTATATGGAATTGAAATTTAAATCTGGGGTTTTAAATCACATAAAAGTGGACTTAAATGATGGCTACTGTCACTTCATCCCATGTCTCCCTAGCTGTCCCCCTGCCTCCTAGTAGGTGGCTGAGTGTCCCCACTGAGAATTCAGGGCCAGGAGCTGGGGGAGGCGCTCTAGGTAAGTGCCTTCTCAATTTCGTTCCACTGGGTTTGTATTCTGTCCCCATCCCGTGGGGCCAGGGTGGCAGGCTCCATCCTCCCACATAGACACCCCTGACCCCGCGCTGAGTCGCGGCTGGGGAAGTCAAGATGCTCTGCTTCAGATGTCAGGCGTTCACTTCTGGGACTTCCTGGGGTTTAATAAGCCAGGCACTTCTCAGAAGGGATGTAGATAGCCACCACTTGATGACAGAGCTTTTTCCTTTTCTCTTTCTTTGTTGGTTTCCATCCTGTTAACATGGCCTAGGGGTGAAAACGATACAGTTTGGGGATAGAAAGTCATACTTCACTGAGAAGGGCATTTCAGCTTTCTCCCCTGCACCTCCGCTTCTGTACCCAGGGAACACGGAAAGGAAAGCGAGGAGCCGGAGACAGAGACCAGGCAGAGATCACACGAGAGTTTATTTGTCAGCTCTCCCGCTCCCTTGCTTTCCTTTCATTGGAACCGAAACCCAGGATCAGGTTCCCTGGTGTGCCTGCTCCCCTCTTTGAGGGTCACTGGGCATCCCCTGGCCCTGATCCGAATTCCATTGTGGGACCAGGCCCTCCATTCTGCCGAACACCCTCTCTGCACCCACCACAGGACATTCCAGCTAAGACGCCTGTCTCTGGACGACCTAAACGACCTGGGAAGTGACCGTTGATTGTCTGGCACACCCCAGGGTTACCGTGTGGTTGGGGACATCCCCAGCCACAGTTTCACAGCTATGGCTGGTCCCTACTGTCAACTGGGTCTGTAGGTGGTCTTTTATTCGGGTACTGGGTTTTGAGAAAAACCATTGACGGTGATTGGGAGTTGTTCCTGGTGAGACCTCTCGGCCTTGGGTTAATCCCTACTGCTTCTGCCCCCATGTTGTCCCAGCCGGGCACTCAAGTGTGCCTCTATAGGTTTTGCCCCCAGCAGTGGTAATGACCCCCTGACATAACCGTCCTCTTGACTGGGTGATACTAGAAATTGGGAGATGCCCCACCTCTAAACTCTCCTCCTGTATCTCACCATGGGTGACTCCTCATCCATTCCCTCCCATAGTCCTCTAGGCTGCCTCCTGGCTAACTAGGGTCTCTCTCTCCCACCCCAGACCTACCCCCCCCCCCAAAAAAAAAAAACCAAACTTATCCATTTGTGCAATCAGACCTGGGCTCAATATCCTTTGGACTCTAAATGGCTGCTTAACGGCACCCCAGATCCCAATATTATCAGGGATCTTTTCAACTATTGTGAGCTTTTGGGAAAATGGAAAGAGATATCATATGTCCAGGCCTTCTTCTCACTATGTTCTAAGCTCTCTCTGTAACTCTTGCTCGCCCACACAAGTCCTCTCAGCTCTTGCCTCCCCTATGCTTGCTTCCAAAAGGACAGAAGATCCTACCCAGGACTTCCCCTCCTTCAACCCAGTGGATGAGCCCCCACCATATCACAATTCTTTTTCTGATGAAGCCACCACAGCAACTGTCCCCTGGGCTCCTCCACCCTTCTCTCCTCCTGCCACACACTCATGGGCTGCCACTGCCCAACCCACATCTCTGTCTTCTACGTGAGGGGGGCTGGCGTAGATGGTGTAGACTGGGTTCATGTGCCTTTGTCTTTGTCAGATCCTCACAGATAGAAAAGCGGCTTGGGCCCTATACTTCAAGCCCCACCACATATATCAAAGAGTTTCAGTATCTGACCCAATCACATGACTTGACCTTCCATGAGGTCCATGTGATCTTGTCTAACACCCTCCTGCCTGAGGAGCACAGGCGAGTTTGGGAGCAAGCTAGAGATTGTGCTGATGAGGTACATCAGACCTCCCCTGCCCATCCTATTGGCACTGAAGCAGCCCCTGATCGGGAGCCCAACTGGGATTATAATTCGCTTGGAGGAGTAACTAGTAGAAAGAAATTCATTACTTGCCTCATGGCAGGACTTAGAAAGGCAGCCCATAAGGCTATCAATTATGAAAAACTCCAGGAAATCATCCAAGATAAGAATGAAAACCCTTCAACATTTTTAGACCGCCTGACCAAGGCTTTAGGACAATATACTGGACCCCGAGACTCCAGATGGGAGACAACGGCTAATGACATACCTTTTCTCCCAGAGTTTCCCTGACATTAAGGCCAAACTAAGGTGCCTCAAGAGGGGTCCCTAACTCCCTAAGCTGAGGTTCTGGGAGTGGCCTTTAAGGTGTATAACGGGAGAGACAAGAAGATCTGGAAGCAGAAATATCAGATGCTGGCTCAAGCCGTCTGTCTAGCCTCAGCATCTGTCCCTGGTTCCACTGCCCCACGGTAGGGTCACTCAGGACTGCCCGGACCCTGTTTTAAATGTGGTCAGATGAGTCACTAAGCTTGGACATGTCCCAAGCCTTGAAAGCCTCCGGGCCCTTGTTCTGAAAGCCATCAGGAGGGACACTGGGCCATCGACTGTCCCTGGTCCCTTAGCAGCCCCCAGCCATCCAGCCCTTCTGGTTCCCCTTTCCGACTCTTAGGACTGACCGCTGAGGACTAAGGAGGCCCGGGTCCCCACCACCCGACCACTACCATCACTCTGCCGGAAACCAGGAAACTCTGTGTATTTCAGGTGGGCCTGTCTCCTCCCTCCTAGACACCGGGCTACATATTCAGCCCTCAAGGAGTTCTGGGGACCTACTGCCAACCCTTACAGACACCTAGCCTTGTTTGCACTTTTGGATCTCTAATTTTAACCCACTCCTTTTTGGTCATTCCACAGTGTCCTGTTCCCCTTACGGGAAGGGACATCCTCACAAAGTTGGGGGCTGTGCTCTCCTTCTCCCCTCACATTCGCTTCCATCCAGACCCGCCTGATGCTCCTCTGATCCTCACCCTGACCTTAGGACCATCCCCTATTCCGTCTGCCAGCGCCTCCCATTTCCCCTTCCAAGGTGGACCCTACTGTCTGGGATGTTCCAAGTCCTTCTATCACCTCACACCATGAGCCCATTCACTCCATTTCAGAACCCCCTCCATTTTCTGCCCAGTCACAACACCGGCTCTACCTCCTTGGTGCTGCTGTCCCTCTCCTTTTGCAGAGCAGCCTCGTCAGGCCCCTGACAATAAACCTGTTTCTGACCCCAGGTGTGTGTGTGTGTGATTGGTCCTGCGCCACTTTTCTCCCATTGGTGCCAGTGACTCGATCATGTTCTCCTATCAGCTTTGCTCTCCCCTCCAGGGATGTGAGCTGCTTTGGGATCCTGAAGGCCCAGGACAATGACCACACACCTTCTTCCATTCACCTAGCACTCTTCTTCTTCATCCACACTCTGGCCTCATTTGGGTAAGTGACTTCGCCCTTCCCCTCTCCTCCTCCTCACCAGTCTATCCCTAGAGACAAGCCTCCTCTCTAGAACTTAGATCTTGGCCCAGCACCAAGATTTTCGCCCATCCCTCCCTCCTGGTGAGTTTACTCCACTTGCCATGGGGAACTCCCAATGCCCTTCCCTTGGTGAGTTCACTCTCGGGTCTTGGTTCTCAGCTCCTCAGCAGAGCTCATGAAAGCCCTGGCCAGGCAACCAAGACTCTCTACAGGCAAAGCCCAGGACTAGGGAAGTAGCAGGTGATTCCCTTCTCTCAGTCCCGACTCCAACCCGCCTTGGGGAACGCCCAAATCCCTTCTGACTCACCTCTCAGCTGCTTCCTCACCCCCTTAGCCCCACTCTGTTTGGCTCCTGATCTAAAGGCCCATCGACCAATTCAACCTTCCAATCTTCATAACTTTTGCAAGCACTCAGGAAAATGGAAGGAAATCCCTATGTGTACTACTTGCCACTAAAGCTCTGGATTCCTCCAGAGACCCTACTTCTAGACAAACAAGGGACCCAGAACCCTCCTACGTTGTAAAGCCCTGGGCAGCAATCTCCCTGGCCAAGGCCACACTGAAGCTGACATTGAAATACAAAGGACAGACTCAGCAGGCTTGATAAGAGGCCTAAGGGGAAAAAAGTGTCAATTTAACTTTTCTCTGGCTACAACTGGCAGAAGAATGGCTTCTTCTTCCTCTCTCTGTCTCCCTGATCTCACACTCCCATTTCACCTTTACATGGCTAAAAAGCAGGGATTTGCTCTAGGGGTCCTTGGACACATGCTGGGGCCAACCTTTGCCCGTGTGGCTTATCTACCAAAGGTCTTGAGCCTACTCTTCGGGGATGGGCCCCTTGCTTCTCTACTCATTAACAAGTTAAAGAAATTCACTTTTGGGGCCCCACTCACCATCCTGGCTCCCCATCACCTTAAGGAACTCCTCACCTACAAGGGCTTACCTTCCTTACCCCCCTGTTGCCTTTTATCTCTACAGGTGTCCCTGGTGGAATATCCCAGTCTTACCTCCCACACGTGCTCACCTTTAAACCCTGCTACTCTCCTCCCTGCTCCTCAGGACTCTTCCACCTCTTCTCCTCTCACCCATTCATGCATTGAAACTCTGGAGGAGCTTCTTCCACATCCCTCCCACATACAGGAAGGCCCCTGGCTGCAGGCAACATGCACATGGTTCACAGATGGCTCCTCCTTCCTTCAGGAAGGAGTCCGTGTGGCAGGGTATGCTACAGTCTCTCTCACCCAGGTTGTGGAAGCGGCTCCCCTCCCCAAAATACATCCAATCAGCAGGCTGAACTTGTAGCCCTCATCAGAGCCTTCACTTTGGCAAAGGGAGTCAATGTCTACACGACGCAATGTCTACACTGACTCTAAATACGCTTTCCACATACTTCTCTCCCACTCTGCTATTTGGAAGGAGCGGGATTCCTTGCCACCAAGGGAACTTCAATTACTAATGTCCCCTTTATCTCCAATCTCCTTCAGGCCTCAAAGCTTCCCACTGCCATTGGAACTGAAGGATGGCAG